TTATTAAGCATTATTTCCCTTTCTTCACAATTATTTGATAGAGATGCAATAGAAGGCTTGAAATCTAAATCCATTATCTTAGTATTTTGATCAGGCGAAGGAATTACTTTAGAGGACAATTCAGTTTTTTCGAGGTCAGCTGATACCGAAGGAGGACAAATTTCTTTATGAGCCTCAGATGTCGGAGAGACATTGAGGTTTGTGGAACGGTTGTTACCAAAAACGGACAAAGGATTATTTGATCGAGGTTGAATATTTAGAGAATCCTGATTAACGTTAAAATTTGCTCTTATTTTATATTTGAAAGGATTAGGTTTAGGAGAAAGACGAAAGGAGATGAGTTTGGAATGGGATGGTCTAAAAAATTTTTTTTTTAAAAAAAAAAAGAGAATAAAAATATAAAAGGTTAGTAAAATAGTCACGTGAATATAAATGAACCAATATTTAGGGGAGTACGGATGATTAAAACCTTAAATTTTGACCATTTGTCGAGGAATCTTGACAAGACTTTGATTTACAATGATACTTAACAAATTCAGGATTTTTACAAGTTTTACTGGTCTCGGAATCACTGTCCAAGTCCATATCGACTATTTCATCTTCAGGGTCACCCATGTCAATATATTTACACGGTTAATTACTTTTTACCCAAGATAAAATTTTTTTTTTATAAAAAGAAATTATTGAAACGGAAACCAATTATGAGAAAAAGGGGATGATAAAAATATTGATGTTTAGGCGTTTTTTAATACCTATTTATGCGTAAACAAAGGATCATCGTTAATAACATTGTAACACGTGCAAAAGTACCCGATTGATAAACTCGTGACCAGGAATATGATCAGAGTGCAATAACGATAAATACAGTAAATACAGAAATGTAAAAAAAAAAAAACTATGAAGTAATAATAAATTTAGTAAGTAACACTAAAATTGCAGTGATAATATAGCAGTGATATAAGTGATTGACAAAGTTTTAAATAGTCACACAATATCGGCACTAAGATGCTCTCTTTCTCAATAGTCTCAATACCAAGAAAGGAGTATGTGTACGTACGCACGCACGTACGTACGTGCGTACATTAACATTGAGACGTACGCCCACTTGCTTATTCCACGTGACACTAATGACCATTTAAAAAAAACAGGGACCTCTTCAAAGTTATAAAATCACGGTAATTTGGAAAAGTTTCCGGTAAGTTGCCGGTAAGTTATCAAAAATAACAAGTTACCACTAAAAACGTTGGACTTCTTGCATTTCTAGAAAGAAAAAAAATCGAACATATTTGACTTAAGGTTAAAGTTTCATATTAAAAGTTAAGTTTGTGATCATAACAAAGTTATTAGTAGGCAAGATTAGCGATCTTTTTTTACTCAAAAGGTAATATGGAATATTCTAGTAATCACAATATTACCAAATGTGACATACGCGAGAACTATAAAACTATATAGAAGGCAATAACGTTGATAAACAGATTGCATGTCTTAATCCGTCGCGACGCAAGCAAGACGATAAAACAAAAGAATTGTATATGTGTAATACTTTATTATACGAAATATGCCTAATCGTTTATCGGTTTATCATTTACTAATAAACTTAGTAGGTAGAAGGAATATAGAAACAGAATAAGAAATCTTGAACATTTTTCAGTTTAAATTAGGTAAGAAAATCCATGATCGTAATTAAACATTAACATATGGGGAATATAAATAAATTGAAACATCACAAAAAGATATTCAGAACTTGGATTAGTGAATTACGTAATTTCAATTCAAGAATTTAAAAAGATATACATACCGATATAATACTGATACGTACGTACGTACACACTTACGTAAATATAATATAAATTTTCAATTGTGTTTTCTATTGTTTTTCTGGACGGAAAATCTACTCTATTTTAATTTTAACCTTCCTTTTTTGTTATAGAACCACTATACGTATGAGTATTACAAATCGGTTTAATAAATATCAATGATGATGCTGAAATCAAATGATGGTGGGATTTAAGATTATAATAAAAGAATATACATATGTTTTCATCTCCGCCAATAAATAAATAACCTTTCAATCATTTCTTGGATCATTTCTTGAGTCATTTCTTGGATTATTTCTTGAATCATTTCTTGAATTATCTCTTGAATCATTTCTTAAATCATTTTTTGAATTATTTCTTGAATCACTTCTAGAATTATTTCTTGAATCAATTCTTGAATCATTCCTTGAATCAAATCTTGAATCAAATCTTGAATCATTTGTTGAATCCAAATTTCTTTCAGAAATTTTGCCATTTAAATCCGAATCAATAGGTGGCTTTAAATTAATATTAGATAATGTGGATGGAACAGTAGAAAATTGGTCTAAATCCATATTTTCTACTTTAGGTACGATGGGTAGAGAATGAAAATTCAAAATATTTAAAGAATTATCTAAATCTATTTTATTGAAATTTTCAACAAGGTTCAAGTCATTTTCACAAATCTTGGAGGGACCAGCAGAAATAGGGATAGAACTAATGGAATTGTTATTAAGCATTATTTCCCTTTCTTCACAATTATTTGATAGAGATGCAATAGAAGGCTTGAAATCTAAATCCATTATAAGCATAGACCTTCCTGCGACTGAAAATAGGAAAATTATAAAAGCAATGATGGGAATGTCTTCTAAGAATAGATATAGGTTAAATGGAATTTCAAACTCGCATTCGAGTATGCAATCGAGTATGCAACAATCGAGTATGCAATCGAGTATGCCATCGAATACGCAATCGAGTATGCAATCGAATACGCTGTCGAATGCGCAATCGCATACACAGTTTAATAAATCAGGTAAGTGTAAACATCTTGTAATCATTTTCGTGAAAAGAAAATTGTTGTAATTAGTTTATATTAAAGAATATCATTGTAAAAATTACAATGTTTCTGATGAAAAAGATTATAGGGACCCTAAAAACGCTTCGATTCATGCTAATAATAAGAATACTCGTGTAAACGAAAAAGCTATTAATCCGAATTTGGCGAATATAACGACTAACTCGAACTCGGTTATCTCAACTTCCGTTAATTCGAATTTGATGGATATGAATATGATGGATGTATCATCTGATGTCCCTCCTGATGATTATGATTCAAATACTGGATCAAAGAAACGAAGTTCCAGAAAGGTACATGAAACTCGAAGCCAGAAACCACCTAGTGCAAATCTGCGCAGTAAAACACTCACTTCTTTTGCCGATATCAACAAGTCGACATTACAGTCAGATCTAAGCATCGCTCGACGAAGGTCTTCAAAACAAAGCTTGCAAAGTCCGAAACCCGCCAGAACTACTAGAAGCTCGACAAAAGAAAAAGAAGTTGATTCTTCATACAGAATTAAATATTCTAGTCCAAGAGCTTATGCTAGAAAACAGAATAAAAGTATTCCCGAGAGTATTCTGAACCTTACTGATTTTACGAGTTTTCCTGAAGCCGATGAACCAAAAAAACCAACCACTGCTTTTGGAATTTATTGTTTGGAGCTTTCCACCGTTCACCTTTTCGGAAAGAAAATGTCAAATCAAGACTTTGTTGCTTTTGCTGCTGATTGTTGGCTTAAACTGACTGATGATTGCAAAGAAGTAAGTTATTCATAAATAGAGATGGGAACCGAAACCCGAAACTACAAGTTTAGGTTAGAGTTTAGGTTAGAGTTTAGGATAGAGTTTAGAATATAGTTTAGAATATAGTTTAGGATATAGTTTAGGATATAGTTTAGGGTTTATGTCTCTAACCTAAACTTGTAATTTCGGGTTTCGGTTCCCATTTCTATTCTTAAAATTTATACATTAAGCACTTATTTTCGTTATAACTTATTTTTCTGACAATGGTATATTTTATAGGAATACGAGAGAAGACGACGTATTAATGTTCAACAAGTTAAACAAAAAATAACTCTGCAACAACGAGATCCACAGATTGAATCGTCAAGATCTGCGAGAAAATTCAATTGATTTTTTTTTTCTTTTTCTTGATTTGTTTTAATATTTCTCAATTCGTATTAGATAAAATTTTATTGATTTGAAGCATTCTCTTTTTATTAGTTTTTTTTCTGTAAAATCAAGAAAAATGCTTTTTTGTAAATAAATAAGGACAATAATTTACAGATCGTATTTACGTGTTTACGTGTAGCATTAGGTTATTTATAATGAATGTAATATGTATGTAACTTTAAATATTCCATATTCACAAATTCATACATCAGACTCTTGTGATTTGTAAAATTATGTTAAAAACTTCCAATTGGAAATTTTGCTTCTATGTCTAGAAAAGAAAGTAATTTTATTTTGTATCGACTTATAATTTGTATGATATGGTAGAAATCTAATTATGTGTACTTTTTCATAATTGAATACTGAATAATCTTTTTAAACACATATGTAATCAAAATATGCAATCGTAATAAGATTATGTTTGACCTTTTTTTTACAGTATTATAATTTATTCTTTAATAAACATATGTCTACTCGTTTTTCTACTTAACGTCTGGGTTTCTACAATACCCGTCGTGGTATTGTAAATAATAAAATTTTAATACGCGGTTAAAAATTTTGGAAGTAATTTGTTATCAATTATTATAAAACGCACCTATAGTGGTTTTGCACCTATTATATGTTTTTATTATGTTTTTTAAAATTTTCTAAGTCTTTATTAGTTTAGTATATAAAATTTTTAACACCCAATTTTTTCGCATTAAAGTTAATATTAAGGTTAATATTAGGGTTTGGTAAGGGTTTTTGAGGGTGTAGAATATTTTTACTTAGAACACCTCATAACGATTAATTAGCCAATTTTTGAGATAATGTATACATAGGTGTAAAACTCCATAGGTGCGTTTTATAATAATTGATATTTTTTTGTCGAAATTATGAACCTCAATTTTCTGAGAAAAACCCCTGATCTAAAATTGACGAAACTACTGGTAAATCTACCTAGTTGAATACGAGAACTTAATATCAATAATGGCCATTTCACTAATTTGTTTGTAGCCTCAAAATATTGCAGGCTATATCAGAACCTATATACTGAGAGTTTAAATACATTTAGAGGAGAAAAATTGTCAACGAGAATAATCTTATTTTCGAATTCGGCGGGTATAATACATGTATTTCTTCTAAATATATGCCATTACTTCAAAACGCCAATAGATCCGGAATACCAATATGAATTGCGGTTAGAAGTTTCTCTAATTACCGGTGTAAATCAACTACCGGAATAACTATTTAATATATTTTATAGTACTTTTGAGAATGTAATTCCACTAATAAACAATTCCTTCAAATATTATTTGTAGCTTTGGTATGTGTCAACATTCACTGCATAAAGAATCAAAAAAGAATCACCCTCCCGGAAACCTAGAAAGCAAATCTATTCGCTGTCTATTGAACTACATACACAACATTAAACAATCAGCCAACCAACGTAAGCAACCAGGAAAGATTAGTTATTAAATCGCATCCGAATGAATCTTAACTGTTTGAATATTATTATAGTTGCCTCCTTTGCAGCAAACCTTTTAAGGAAATATTAGATATAATCATAAGGAAAGCTTTTTTGAATCTAGTATTTTAATAAAATAATTTCTAATGAAATAATAAAGTTCGAACTAGGCATAAATAAAGGATTTTATGCAATTATAAACTTGTTAAAATTGAGCATTTGAGTTTAATTGAATTTATTTGGTGCATATTGATCATATATGTTCATAGATATTAAGTTATGTATTTTGTAAAACTTTGAGAAACTTATGCTAAACAACGAGGATTTCAAGTTATGTTGTATTTGACAAATATTCAAGTGTAACATAAACGAAAGAACAATAATATTAAAATAATTATAATTTACTCTTACTCTAGCGTAAGTTTTCATCCTAACCAAACGAAACTCAGTATATAGTCGTTTGTATAAGAATTTAGTGAATCGGTTCTGTTTCAATGTAATAAAATCCGTCTTTATTCAACTCAAAATGTACATACTTTATAAAAGTAAGTCTATATTGTCTATAGAACGTTTAAAATCCTTTATTTCTTACAATCTTCATCACAAATCTGTATTATTTATATTCCTTATGCTTTATATGCCAAGCGATATGTATAAGCATGGTTACTTCTTTGAATATCTGGGGTATAATGATAATTATTAATTAGCATAAAAACTTTAGAGTCTTTTACTAATCTGAAATATTTCATATTCATCCACTGAAAAATATGATAAATTGTTTTCGTATGTAGACACATCTCTAATTCGATTTTCATATGACTTTTGACGAGTCCAACATTGACGGTCTTGATTAAAATTATCCGACATATGTAAATCACATACAAGAAATGGGTAATAACCAAAGGCTGGTCCACTTGAAATATCACAATAAATTGCATCGTCTGGTCTTTTTACACGACTTAAAATAGATTTTTGAATCGTACCATTTTTCAATGAGAAAATAAAGCTATCATTGCACTCTTTAAAACTTTTAAAGAAATATGGTTTCTCCCACCCAATAGGGTTATATCCACCAAGAATTTCATCAGTACCCTTAACTTTCATAACTACAACAAGATGTGTTTGCTTATTACATAATTTCCAAAATGAACCAGCGGTAAAGCCATCTCTAGTTCCACGAAGAAGTAATTTAAATTCGTATGGATAATTTGTTGCAGAATATGCATTAGCTTGTTTATCAACCCATGAAGTAATTTCTGCTGCATGTACTTCATTAATTATTGTTGAAAATGGTTCAGTAATTCTAGTTGGTAATTGCTCAGTAAGTTTAGTTGGTAATGGTTCAGTAACTCTAGTTGGTAATGTTGGTGCTAAAATTATTCGAGGTGGGAGAACTTTTGAAGATATTGGTTCATTTGGGGTCATAAAGTTTTTCATTATATCTTTCCAAAGATTTTTTTCAAGAATTTGTTGATATGGTTGCACATTATTCAAAATATTATGGCTAGACATTTGAAAATAACGAATAAGAGGTAAACAACTTTGTAGAGTAGTCTTTAAGGCAAGAAAATTTTCATAGGTCCAATTTTCGGGGTCTGACGGTAAGTCAGGGTTTTGAGCAATTCCCCATTGGATAACACGATCCCAAATTTTTACTTCTTCCATTTGTAAATCATCTCGACTAATAAGAGATTAATGCGTTTTCTTGAAGTGAAACGAAATCTTCAGAATCAAAAATCTTGTCAGGATATTTTACTACAATATCATTGCACCATTTTTGTAATGCTTGAAGCTTATTATTCTGAAAACTTTTTTGATAAATAGAAGCAAAATGTAGCCGAAGCCAATGTGCTTCCACTTCAATTAAATGAGTTTCAAGACGTTTAGTTAATTCATCGAAAAGAAATTCATGAGCAATAAGCATAAGCTCAAAAATAAAAGATGCATTATGGCTTTCAAGCAAGACAATTCCTCCGTAGATATATATTTGCATAAAATTAATTTATAATTTAGTTTTTATAAAATAATGTATAAATTTTCATAATTTTCATTCGTGTATAAAATAGCTTTACCTGATAATGATTTCGAATTGCTGTTTAGTAACATGTTTCAAATCAAGAGTTTTAATATTATTCTTATCTTTGCTGATATTTGCTAATTTATTTCGAAAATATAAAGATCTATATTTTACAATTGCTGAATGTGCTTGAAATGTTTTGGTGTTTGGAGATTCGCCAACATTAATAATTACATTAAAATCTTCTTTGTCATCAAGAAGTTCGAGATAATTGTTTGAAAGTGTTTCGAAAAATTTTAGCGCCATTTAAATATATGCAAGAACTTTAACTACTAAGTCTATCGCTATTAAATTTTTGTAAAAGTTTAATTCAAATATATAAATACTGTATGCGACTTTTCTGTCGTGTAATATTACATACGGCTCAGATGCAGCTCAGCGCGTACCGGCACCCTGGGAAATCCGCCGACGATCTACACCGTGCGACAAACAAGGATATCACGCCTTAGCCGAAATGATTATCAGAATAAGATTACCAAATCAGGGCATATTATACC